TGAAGAGCTGTGTTCTTTATGTTATTCTTTCACCTTATGACAATGAACAATCTGATTTGGTGCACAGAATTAGTAGTGACAAAAAGCTAGAAGAAATCCCGAAGTATAAGTAAGTATTCTTTCTAATAAACAATTCTTAGGTAAAAAAAAAAAAGTGTCTTTCAGATTAGCTGTGCAAGTGAACTCTGTTCACGCCGAGTCTGCTGTAAGCGTCTCAGAATTTAATGCTGTATGAAAAATACTGCAAAATTTTCACGAGTTCTACAAGTACTAAATTAAAATAAATGTCTCTTTATAAGAGAAAGATCTTTATTAGAAACACAGTCAGCCTTGAGCTGCCTCCTGACTGCATGAAGTATTACAAAGTATATTCATGAAGAACAATGACTATTAATGGTAATAAAATGAAAACATTTAAAATTATTTCTTTGATCTATTTAAGTATGAAATGAGCCTTATTAATAAAGGATTGTAAATCAACTTTACTAAACCATTTAGAGACCTCCTAAAACTATTTACCACCATGGAATTGATGCGATGGACAGCCCTAGTTGAAGAATACGGGAAAGAATTGAGAGAAGGATCCCTTGACAGTCCTGCAACAGACGTTTTTGGCTGTACAGAGGAAGGTGAAAAGAGATGGAAAGATTTAAAGAATAGAGTTGTGGAACATGTAAGTGTGGCTGTCTTTAAGCATTAGCTATGTATTCAGTGCCTCAACTAAAAATGCTTTTTGCTTGCCGTATCTTAGTTACAAAGAGAAACAAAAAAAGTATGTAGTAAAGCAGCAGACAAGTTGCCTTTTCCATTGTGTTATATTTTCAACATTTTATTTGCTCGTATGTGTTTATTATACGTAAGTATTTGGCACAGTTGCCAGAAAAAAGAGCATATTGCAGTCACATTGTGAGATTTAGTGTTCACATTTTAATAGAGGAGAAACTCAAAAGTCTTGCTTTGTATTAAATGGATAATTAGTTGATTTCATTATTTAATAATTTGTCATGTAGAGACTTTTATACTTTTTACAAGCAAAAGAACTGTTTGTTCACAACTCCCTTGTACCGTATCGTATGCTGGACTGCCATTAGAGCATTATAGCTTCTGATCTGCTTTTAACATTGACTTTTATATTTTTGCAGCCTGCTTCAATTATATTTTGCACATAACCCTCTACTCTGAACACTTTTATTCCAGAATATTAGAATAATGGCTAAATATTATACCAGAATTACAATGAAGAGAATGGCACAGCTCTTGGATCTGTCTGTTGATGTAAGTATTGCTTTGCTTATCCTTCTTTCATAAACGGCATGGACGTGTATGTGTGCATGTGTTTGTGGCAAAAATGTAAGTATTCAGCAGTCATGTTCTCTTTTAATATGAATTTGAGTTCTCTTTTTAGCTTAAAAAGATTCATAAGTGGTCCCATAGATCATTGTTGCATTGTTTTAGATAGACAGGGAGGGTTAAGTGAACTTAGTTCATTGGGTTCTTTTTATGATAAGTAGTGTAAAAGTTTGTTGGGATTAATAGTATTAATCCAAATATTTGTCACTTTATTAGCCAATACAAAGACTTGAGTGTATTTTCATGCCTTTGTGGGAGTTAGAAAACTTTTTTTTAATCCAGGGAGAACTCAGTGTCATGATGGTTGTGTCTATAAGCCAAAAGCTGCTCTTAAAAATTCACGTATATTCAAGGTCTTATTGAAATGCTGGAGCTTCTTGTCTTGTGTTTCAGTGTTAAATAGCTCTTGTTGACGGGTGATTAAAACTGACTGAAGATACCTGGTTTCTCACCTTTAAATGCCCCGGTTTATAGATGGGTGGCTTTGGGAACATGGGGTGGAGTAGTTTTCCTGTCATCCCCCTTCCTGTTTTCAAGAGCTTTCCAAAGAGATTGATACATTATGGCATATTGGTGTTTCAACTGCAAATGAAAACCTTTACCCTGCTGTCTTTTAATTAAATCTGCTCTTTAACACAAACTCGGAATAAACCCACCTGTCAGACAGCTTGTTCCCGTATCTGTGTAGCCACGTACTCCAAAGTGTAAAAGCCTGCTGGTGTAGTATATTCTCATGAAACATAGTTGGATATAGGTCAAATAAAAAAAAAATAATTAATAGAATGTGCTAGTACCTTGCAGTGCCAACAAGTGTAATAATAAAGTATTGTGTGGGGTTTTTTAAGTGCAATATTACTACAGCTGTGGTTCTGTTAAGTATAAAGAAAATCTTGTTCCCTGTGCTTTAATGCTATTTGGGAATTCTGATGTTTTGCAGATAAAAATGCTATTTTCTTGACTTAGTGCTGTTTCTCTTTGCAGGAATCAGAGGAGTTCCTGTCTAACTTAGTAGTTAATAAGACCATCTTTGCTAAAGTAGACAGGCTGGCAGGAATTATCAATTTTCAGAGGCCTAAGGACCCAAACAATATTCTCAATGACTGGTCTCACAAGCTCAACTCACTAATGGCCCTAGTTAACAAAACCACACATCTCATTGCCAAAGAGGAGATGATACATAACCTGCAGTAAGGTGCCTCAATAATCTCAGTGCTTTTAAAGAAGGCATTAAATCTTCATAATAGAGACTATTACTACAGTGTGTATATGGTTTGTTTTCTCCCTGTCAAGCCTTCCTGGTCTAAAATTTAGAACGTAATTCTGAAATTCCTGTTGACAATTACGTTCCCTTGATTATTCATTCTGTTGTTAAATGTTTTTGCTACAATTGCTGAAAGAACATAATAAAACTGCATTGCCTGTATAATAGTAGTCTTGTGATTTCTTCTTTTCCATGTATACCTTTATCTATCTAACACATAATTCTGTGGTTATTTCATTACAGGACTATTTTTGAGGCTGTGATTGAGATGATATACTATAAATAATAAAATCCTAGGGTTGTACAGTAGCATGCGTTGAGGTAATTTATAATGGTAATATTATAATGTTATGTCAAGATACTGTTTGAACAAAATTCTGGATGTTCATACTTAAGAATAACACTATTTCTTGTGGTTTGGGAGTAGAGATAGGCTTTATTAATTTTGAGCTGACTGAGAAATCTACCTGAATCTTGTCTGCTTGGTGCAAATCACTAATTTTCACTATTTTGTAGTTCCAGTTTGTAATGGATATAATGGCAATTATGCTATTAAGTAACACACTACTTCAAAGCTGCTGCTTCTCGTAGTTCAGTGTGTTATATCAGACAAGATAACGTCCTATTATTTGCTTTAACCTACTTGTCATGGAGGGAAGCTGTCCCCATGTCCCTGTTCTGTTGTTTTTTAAGAAAGTGAAATAGTAGCATGAATAGTGTAGTAAGAGGCAACGGAACTTTTGTTGAATTTGCTCTGTCTTTAAATAATTTTTAATGTTGGCCATAACTATTCCGTTGGTGACTAATTAGGTAGAGACTGTAATTGCAAATGATGTCTTGAGATGTATATAAATCCTGTCTCTTTAAAAGCGCACTGAACTTCATTCAAACTAACACTCTTAGCACAGGTAATTATCATATGAATACACAGTAAGTCAGGAAACTTGAGACAGGTTTTGAGTGAGGGAAGTCTGTGAAGGAAAGATGGAAGCTTCTAAGCAGTGATTTGCATTTGAAATGTAGACTTTGGACATAGCTTAAGGGAAACTTGGGAATGTCATTTCGGAGGCTGGTAACTTCATCAAGCCATACCAATCCAGCTCACTGCATTTAAGCAACTGGAGAAAGAGGAGCAGACTGTTAAGAATGCATAGAATGCTTACCATCTAACTTCTTCAATTGTATTCTACTCACAATTTTATGAGTTGTATAAGATCTTGTCACAGCCATGTCTGAGAATGGTGTGTACTGGTCTTTGCAAGGCTGGCCTTAGTAGCATAAGCAAAACTGGCTGCTGCTAGGATAACAAACAAAGTAACTTCTGTTTTGACCTTGTTAGCAGCAAAATTCAATCTTCTGGAAACTGAGGCAAGAGGTATCAGAAAGCAGAACAATGAGTCATCAGGGGAAGTGGGAACTTGCCTCTCCTTGTTCTTATTATAAACCTTTTTCTTCCACTTGCAAATCTGGTCTGGAATCTACAACCCCAAGCATCTAAGCTAATGGACTCTGACTTATACCAGGTGGGAGATATTGGACCTGTTTCCCCAGCCAACCCTCTTTCCTTTTCATCCTATGGTGGAATGGTTCAGTGGTTCCCTGGTCCTACTTTCAGGGATTCTTGCGGATCCTACTCTCTCTCTGGCCTAGCTATATCCCCCCTGCTGCCTTTGCATTTAGAGCATGAGTTTGTTGGAGAGAGGAGGCGATTTCTCTCCTCTTGCAGCTGCTTTTTGCTGCCAGCACTGGAAAGAACATGGAAGCACTCTTATCTTTCAACTGTCCAGGTATCTCTTTAAAACTCAATTCAGAAGGTTCACTTTCATGGTCTATTCATACCAGAGATCCACAGTGATCAAGCTTTTTGCCTTTTGGTCCAAAATAGATTTTTGTCCTCACTGAGTTCACTTAGAACACCTTTGTCTTGGTTTGACAACATCCTGCCCAAGGCAAACTCCCTACCCAACTCTATCCTCAAGCGGGATATGCCTGTTGTGTACCTGATGCCAGAAGCAAGAATCCCTCAGGGTTTCCCTCCCCATGCGTCACAACGTTATAAGAGGAGTTTTAAAACAAAGTTGTAGAATTATTAGGCTGTACAGTAAGCCCAAGTGAGTGGTCCTGTTAATTTAGCCTGGAATTTGGGGGGTTATGTTGGGTTGGGGTTTTTTTATTTGTTTGGGGTTTTTTTTTGGTGGCAGACTACTACTAATGAAAATGAAAGGAGTGTATCTGGAGTCTCTCTGGAAAATGTTGCCACATTCAGGTTGCTAGGAAGAAAGCTATAAACGTTTGGTGCTAGTTCATCTCAAGCATGCAGATTTATGTCAGATATAACTCCTCCATAAGCAATTTAAAGGTCAACATAAAGGCATGCCAGCTGCTTAAAAAAATGCACTGAAATTGAAGATCTTTGATCTTGACAATGTGGGATCAAACCATCGCGTTAATCTGAACTTTGTAGTTCCTATCTCCTCAATGTACCCTCAACATCCCTTATTGCTGTTTGCTTTTCAACACTCTTGTTTTGTGGATCAAAGGAAAAATGAATTAGTTTGAATATTACTTGCTCTAGAAATTGTATGTGGTTAAAGAGTCCACGTTGAAGAAATGTTATCCTTGGATAATTGTGAAGTAAGATTAAAGTTGAGATCATCTGTTCATTAGAGGACTCTGGAGGAATTCCAGGGGAATTTTCATGCTGGAAAATCAAAACTTGCTACTTTTCAGCCTCATAATCAGACATTAATGGATGCCTAGAAACAGTTTGCTTTGTTTAAGTAAGACTAAGAATTACTGTTGCTATCTAACCTCAGGTCTACCACTGACTTGTTTGTGGCAGAGGGTAAACCGCTTAACTTCTGTTAGTTTCCCATGATTGCTGCTTCTGAGGGAGTTCAAAAATTTGTAAAGGTCCAGTGTGCTAAGACAATAAAAACATTGCTTCTATTACCGCAGTCAGTCTGGAACTTCTATTGAGAAAGGCCTCCTGTTTTGTTTCTCAGAGGTGGAAACTGCTCGAGATGCCTGCCGGGATGTTAGGCTGCAGGGTCAGGGAGGCAATTGGGTGCTGAATGTATTCTATTATGTGCTTATTACTCTTACATGTTAATTGTAATGGTTTTTCCTGTATTTTGAAGTCAGACATCGTGAGTGAAGCTGATCGAAAGTCGGGTTTTCTGTATTGGAATTCAAGAAATGCCAGTTCTCAGAAACAGGAGTGAACTTTGTCATAGAATAGAAATTGATTTTTCTGAATTTCCTGTGAAAGCAAAAGTCTGAGGAGAAAGGAAAAAAAGCAGCAGCGTCAGTTTGAAAAAATTAAAATAGCTTTGTTTTGAAAATGTAGAAACTAAGCCATAGCTGTGATTCCAAGTGTGCAGCTCATGGGCGAGCCAGGACTCTAGGGCTTTTTGGCTACCAGCTCTCCATTAGCCCTGAAGCAAGCGAGGGTTTCTGCGTTCCCAACTCTTCCAGAATCTGTGCCACACCTTCCAGAGCTCTGCTCAGATCTTGGCTTCGTGGCAGGGAGCCTAGCAGCCCTGAGTGGCCCCAGGTTTTCAAACTCCTGCTTTTTGGCAAGGAGCCTAGATCCTCTGAGGACCTGGGCATGGCTCTTAGCCTCACAGAAGAGGGAGAAGCCCTGTGAACAGTCATGACTTACAGAATCCTGACTTAAGGGTAGGGAGACTGGATGTGTTAGTGCCTTCTGTACAGGGCTTCCTTGCAGTTACCATCCCTGGGAGGTTGGGCTTTCTAAACTTCCAGCAGGAAATTGCAATTTTCAGATCTGAAAGGTTTTGAAATCTTAAACAATGTGAAAGTGGAATTTAATTTGGTATTGCTGCATTTGTTGGAGGTGGGGTTTTTTTTGTTTGTTTTAATCTTACCATTATAATGTGTCCCTAGAAATATCACTGTTAGGCTTTTGAGGATCTGAGTCCTGTCAAGTCTCGTGATGCTGAGTACAGATGAACTGTTTTGTTCCTATCTCGTGCCTCCCCATTGTGCCTTTGGCATCTCTTACATTTGCAACGTATACCGTTGCTTCTCCTCTGCTCCCAGACTCCATGTGACCGGCTGCTCCTGGTCTCCTTGGGCAGAAGAAAGAGGGTGCTGCAACCAGTGCAAACCCCCACATTCCTCAGCAGAAGCTGAGTACTGTGAGCTCTCCTCTCGTCATGAGAACGCATTATTGACCGTAGCACATGGGGAGTCCGGGAACTTCAGAAGTCTGGACAATTCTGGAAATGCAAGCCAGTAGTCAGCACATAACACATCTGTTTCTGTGGCCAACCCACGCTGAGGGAAGACCTGGCTTCTCAACTCAGCCTGTAGAGTTGTGAATGTGTTTGACTGCAGAGGTTGGAAGCCAAAATTGCAGCTTCCACTGGGGTAATACACATCAAGGAGAGAGAAAGAGACATATCTCACGGAGTCCCTCCCACAGCAGCTAATATTATAAGCTTATTTCCTTAAATTATCCTTTAATACGGTATTGAAGCACGTTAATAAAAGCCACAAGAAGTCTTTCTTCCCATGCAGCGTATAACCGGTTGCTAGTGGCATGCTCTGCCCTCTGTGCTGTTAGAACAGAAGTGGCTCTGAAATGGAGTTTAGTTATATGAAGGCCCTTTGGATTTGGGATCTCATCCCTTAGGCCAGTTGCTATATGACTTGTACTTTGAGCAGAATTTCCAAGGTTAATGAGCGTTTGGAGCCCAAATTTGTTTTGGACCACCAGTCCTCATCTTTCTATCCATTAAAAAAGACTACGAAAGAGCTTGGAAGGGGCACCGCATGGAAAAAATACACTTATTCCAATACTGCAGGCTCAGTGGCAGTGCTTGAACAAAACAGCGTTTGGCAGCCAACCCCATTCCGGAGCTGCTGGCTCCCGCGGTACCCTCTGGCATGTCCATTTGGGGTTTCTGCCATACAATTAACCAGTCTACAAACTACAGTAAAACCTCCTTCATATGGGGGCTAAGAGGTTTAATTTAAGTAACAAGATCATAAAAAGCAGTGGGTGTAAGGGCACAGTCTCCATATTGTGTTTTATACACATCACTTTTTCTGAGACAGGGGATTCCCCTGCTGCTGTAGGCTTTCCCAGCTCCTTTCTGAGTTGCTGTATTTTTACAGCAGTATTCGCCTTTCGG